CACAATTCAAATTTGGCGCTTTTTTTTACTAATTCAAGGGCAATGACTCAAAAATCATCCATCCGATAATTACCAAATTTGAACTGCGAAATCATCAATATATACATGCATACCAAGTTTCATCATGATCAGATAAAAGCTGTAGTCTCTATTGTGCTCACAAGAAATGTGGACGGTCGGACAGGGGAGACGACAATATACGTCCACATTTCCACATGGGCGTATGAGAATCGAAAGTGTCGTATGACCACTTATATACCTAAAGAATAGAGGGTTGACCTTCTCGAACTAGTTCATGCTTGTTATAATTTGTTTTTTAGTCTCTTATCAGGAAGATTTATTTCAATGTCTGTATAGAGACGTGTATTTTTGGCCGCAGGATATGTCATTATTTATTGCAATACTGAACTATTTTTATTCGATTCCATTGTCCGTCTACATTGGTGGTGTAATTATCAAGTTTTATGGTAGCTGAATCTAATGTCATAAGGAATATTTCTAAGAAACAAATCTCGTTATTGGAGAAGAATCTGCCGCCATTAAACTATGTATGACTCTAAACCAATTTTATCATATTATTTGCTAAATTCAATTTCGTAAAGAAATTGAATCAACTCCAGAAATTATTAATGTCTGTTGAGAACTGTATTATTGATTCCATCCATATGTATGTTAACTTAATTCATTTCGAAGGGCAATTTCATTACTTAAAACCACAGGGTTAGTGTGAAACACGAAAAAACAATAATTCGCCGAAACATACCAATTATAGACAAACCAATTGGATAAGTAGAAAATGAACAGGAAAGAGACATTAATGAGTAATAGTACAAAAAGCCTTAAATGTTTCCACTTAGATGTAGCTTAGTTATTAGCTTGAATGTCAAATTGTCAAACGTGAATTTGAATTAGCCATTTTTTTTTACATTTCTCTGTTGTCAAATGTTTCATCACCTTCCCTATAGTTATCACTTCGTTTGTGACTGTTTTAGTATAAAAAAAAAACAAAAAAATGTTTGCAAAATCCAATTAGACTTTTTTCTCAACGAATTATTTTACAGAAGTACTAATTGATAACAGCCAAAAACAATCTTCATCGATAGACACCAGATCATGATATTGTTTACATAAATACAAAACTATCTATTATCACACAACAGTACTGTTTTCGGGTTCATATCACAGGTTCATAAAAACGACGATATAAAACTATGCTGATTAGATCATGAAAACAGAACAACCTGGCATTTTTTAGAGTTGACGCCTCAGTTAAAACTAAAGTCATAAGGCATGAAATTGTGCCAAATAACATAACTTTGATTAAAAGATTTAATTAGTTCTCACATGCTCGTGTTTTCGCTCGTGTTTATGTAATATGAAATTTATGAAATTCGTTTATCTAAGCACACATTTTATAATCAACTTATTTTATCATCTTGGGTCTATTTCACATAATTCAATCTTAACTAATAAACTATCAGAAAGAAGTCCGGTATATTTCTATATAAACTTGTGGTATTAAAGAATAAAAATACAGTTGTATTCCATAAACCAAATGCTCTAACCAAATTTTTGTGTCTCACATAAAAGACCTTGTTTTATATATAAACTAACTTTACATGGGTATCGATTTTATATCTATTGTACTTGCCCTATCTCAGAATATCGATTTGTACTTAATTTCAGATTCTACGTAGAATAAAAATGTCTTGTGATGTTATACCATTGCATATCTACTAACAACACCAAGTTTAAAAAAAAAATACGATCAAAATTTATCCAAAGTCTCATATTTAACAAGTATATGTTCAGGTTTGTTATACCTGTTTGCAAAGCAGGGTAAAGGACGGTCCGAAACATCTGCCTCTGGTGGAAATCCCCATTTAACAGGGCCTATTTTTACTGTCTCTACACTTCCGTCCAAATAGCTATCAGAGGCTGGAATAGAGACAGATGATTCGGTCTAGGCAAAAGATTGTCATTGTTATTGTACTGACAACAGGCATTCAACTTAAACGTTGATTTCTTTTGTTAACACCTTTTTTATACGCCCACATGAAATGGGGGTGGGGGGGGGCGTATATTACCGTCACCCATGTCCGTCCGTCCACAATTGCTCGTAAACACTCTACAAGACACAATTCTTGACGGATTTTAACAAAACTTGATATGAGTGTTCGTAATCACCCAAGGAAGAACCCTAATGAAAATCAGAAGAATCGAAAAATATTAAGTATGAGTTATTGCCTTTGTTCTTGAAAACGCGTTTAATTTTTAGCTTGTAAACACTCTAGAAGAGACAATTCTTGACGGATTTTGACGAAACTTGGCATGAGTGTTTGTTATCACCCAATGATAGTCCCTATTGAAAATCAGAAAAATCAAAAAATAATAAGTATGAGTTATTGCCCTTGCTATTGAAAACGCGTTCAATTTTTAGCTCGTGAACACTCTAGAAGGCACAATTGTTGACGGATCGCCCTACAGAGTTCAAAAGAAGTATATGACTGAAGGTTGAATATTTCATACTGGTGATTGTTACTGTACTGCTAAATATTTTTATTCAAAAATCAAAGCTGCCAATGGGCGTATATTACCTTGCCTGGCAAGCTATTTTTTTCTCCTTTATTTCTTTTCCTTATTAAATATATTTGTTTTACCAGCTGAGTATGTCGATGTCTATTTCAGAATTAATATCGGACATCTGACTCGTAGAATTCGATTTTAAGAATTCAGATGAGAACAAATTAAATTGAAACAACTGATATCTGATTTTATTACTGCGTGAATGTCATCAGGTTTCCCCCGTGCAAGAAATAAAAATAGCATACGCCCACTGGTAGAAATGATAAGAGAGTCTTTAGTGACAAAACTACGAATTTTCTCATTTTAATGATCTTCATCATGCATTTGTAGTTTGTAGATATAATAATTATGTATTATGTATTTACTGTCAGTTATTTATGCTGAGTTTTCACAACATTTGTTATCATCACATCCTCCCTTTCTTAAAAACCAAAAACATCAAATCAAATTATCAAATCACGCTGATCTCATATCTGAGATCTGAATCTGAATATTTTATTAAGGACAACCACTCAAAAACCGATAATCGAGATACAATCAATATAAATGATCACACAAAATTTAATTAAAATCAAATAAAAATTGTAGTCTCCATTGCGTTCACAATAAGTTTTTCCTAAGTCAAGGGCAATAATTGTGACCTAGTTACATTTCCTACTGGAAAGATCTTTTGAATGTGTCTTATAAAGTTTATTACATGTGTACTTTACAATTACGTAATACAAAAAAGAAGGTGGAAAAAGGTGGAATGACAAGCAATATCTTATACATAAATATATGTGGTAGTCGTATTTTATTATATAAAATTTATCAACTTTCTGTTATTTATTTCTAAAGTATAGCTTTTTCTTCCCTAGTTTATCAATGGTAGCCTTAAGTTGTTTATCAACAGAGTATTTATTTTTACTCACTTTAAATTCTAATCACTCTCCTATATTGCACTGGATCAAAATTCGCAGTCAAAGCCACGATGTTACATCAAAGGGAAATTCTATGTCCAATGTGTAACTTAATGGAAACCGCACAGGCCGATAATAACCGCACCAGGAATGTTTCATATATGTGTCAACACCTCGTGATAGAACCGGGAATGGCTATTTTAAGTGCCGATATGCGGAACAGACTTCGTTTCAACACCCTAGCGGAACGAATTCTTTACATGGCGGACCTGAAATCAATGATTGGAGAATTGGAAATACAAGCAACGGCCGACATGCCAGAACGACCAATACATGTATTATACAACGTGATCAAGTACCTTTGCAAGACGCCTAACTTCTTATCACCACTACTCGTAAAATATCTGAGAAATGCAGATGCTGGCCATTACGGGGGGTCGTGACGACAAAAATTACTGACATTTCTCCATTGCCGAAACAAAAAAGCAAACGTTAGAAGCAGACATATTCATCACAAGTTTTAACGGATAGTCCATGCAAAAACGATTTTGAAGCCAAAATAAAACTACAAAGTGAGAAAATAAAAAAAGGCAAGCTGCGGAAGAATGGGGACCTGATGAATACAAAACTTAACAAACCAGCTAAGAAGAGAAAAGCTGCGGTTGTTGTGAGAAGAGAAGATCAAAATACCACATAAGAAATCTGTTACTGAGCTTACTTACTCTGAAGACGACGACGAGGAAGAGGATCAATGTGCTTGGTGTGGGTGGTTTCATCCATATCGTTGTCGTACCACTTGCCACTTGCCGAAGTCGTACCACTGTCGACATTGACTATTTCAGTCAAACGCTTTCGTTTGAATATGAGCATAGACGGCAAGAAATGGCCTGTTGCCTAATGACAATGAACACCAGTGGTATTAGTACCACGTTCTGCACTGACGCCAACTTGACGTTTGCCTTTTGTTGAAACCATTTTTGATGGAGTTTGGACGGTTGAGCGGGCGGTTTCATCCATATTGTAGATTTTTTTGGGGGTCAAAATGTATTTTTCAACTATTGCATGATATTTATCAAAGAACTCATACACATTATTTCTGTTGAAACCCTTGGTACGGTTTTGTGACGTCGCCTCGGGCGAACGGATAGTTAGCACTGGATGTCGTTTCATGAAGGCATAGTACCACTTCTTCCATGCGGACTTGTTCTCCTTACTCAATCTGTTGGCTACGGCCAGATCATATGCGAGATTGGTCAAATCTTTGATAGTTAAGTCAAAAAGCATATCGTCGAGATCTTTGATGTTTGGCTAATTCATCTTTCACGTGTTTTGGTAGTACTGATGGTGCACCCATATATTTATTACCATTTTTTGCATACTGTTGAGGATGGCAAATGCTAACTAGGTCTACAAGGTTAAAGGGAAATTAGCCTACCCCAATTAACATATATCAAATAGGTGACTAAAATTCAAATCACATTACCAGTTTAATTTTACGCAGTTGCCTATGTCGTACTACCAGTTGTCGAAGTCAAGTAAGATATAGGCAACTTGTGGTGGTACGATATAGGCAACCCCAACACGTCGAACAGAAAACCGAAATCGAAAGTAAAACCTTCTTTTTTTGGCGGGAAATCTCTACAAAATCAATCAACATAATCATTCTACGTATTACTTATGGTGCCTTGATGTTCCAAACAAAAATTACCAAGTTGTCACTTAAAATCTGAAATCCGTAAATTACCTTAAACCCACGATTTATCAATGTTTGCTTACCTTTACTTACCAAAACTGTTTTCCGCCATTTTACGTGTTTCCCTTTTCTACCGGTAGGTGTCACCTCGTTATGATGCATGACTGAACATACGTCACTTAACAGTTGCGCGGGAATCCAGGTAGTACGACTTGGGAAGTGGTACGACATTGGCGACTCTCTCCTATAAGACTTTCTCTCTCTTTCTTTCTTCACTTCTGTCATTTTACCTAATATTGTGTGTTTGATGTCATCTTTGTTGGTAAGTTATTATTCTTTTATTTTATTTTACTCTACAGACTGGACAAATCTATTTTATTCAATGCAATTCTCCTTAAGAAATGTAATTTTGTAATGACTTATTTTCATAAAGTTTTAAGTTGTTTTCATTTGTAACGATAGCCATCTTTGTTTTCCTTAGAAGAATAGAATAATTTCTATTTCATAGGGTAAGATTGTTTATGGATTTCTCCAGTAATATATTTCCAAATATGCATTATAAATGGCAGATTTGAATTTGTATTATTTATTTGTGTTATGAATTTCTTTCATTTTTTTTATTTATAAGAAATATTTATGATAGTTAAATGTACAATAAACTTACCAGGTTATGCTGTTGAAATAGATGACCTCTGCATGTCAGTCTTGGCCGCCATGTCAACTAATTCCCTGATCACTTCTTGTCGAGTCCTATATCTCTGTATAATTGGTTTTCTTTATTATAAAGGTCATTCGTTATATTGGAAAAATTCGTTCATGTCGCAAAAATTACGAGCACAAGCATCTTCCAAGGCAATGCGATCTGCGCAGACATTTTTTAACGAGTAATTGATACTTAACGAGTTGGAAATTTTCTATGATCCCCTTTTTTAATCCCCATTGATATCAATTAGTGGAAATACGATAGTTCCGCGACTTAGTAACGTTTTTTCATAAAACTGTAAGTATAAAACCAAGATCAAATGAGAACGTTTCTTGTTTCAACAACTACATGCCAACTAGTGGGTGTAATTGGAGGTTATCCACTATCACGTAGGTTTTTATTTATCCGGTTCATTTAGTCGCTATCGTTAATATCTAAATACTTCATTATGTTCAAAAAGCCAAGCTGATAAAGGTGTCTGTTTCCATAGAAATTTGATTCGTCTGAGATTATTTAAATCTATGATGTTGTGAACAAATATCAACGTTTGGTTCAAATTTCTACTCAACCATTTATTTCTCTCGGCGTGTTATTTTGTGCCTTGAACCCAAGAACGCTCGTCCAATTTTTCTCTCTGTTGGAAAGTAAGAAAATCTTCCAATGATCAAGTATTATATTGGTCTATACACCAAAGCCTCGTGGGTTTAATCATCAAAAGGTCACAAAGAAAAAGAATCCTGAACTCCATTTGGCCATAAATCAATCAGAGAATCGAAAGCCTGTATCAATACGCAAAGCTACGCTTGTCTTAAGGGACGCTCTATAGATTAAAGCACTGTAAACGAAATTACTGTTCTAATTATCGAGGGGTTTGGCGTTGAATACTACTGTCTAGAGAGTAATCAGTTGGCAGAGGTGACTATTAATAAATACCGATTGATTATCAATGGGTTTGAAAAGAGGAATACATTATATGTACCTAATTGCTGTACTGGATTGAACTGTTTTACGGCCTAATTTTCTGCTCAAATTTTGAACCTGTTTAAAATGAATTTCTGTGTTATGTTCAATGAAATTTTTTTCTGGCACTCGTAACACAGAAATTAGTTACTTTTATTTTTAATACAGCTACTTCTGTTAGGATGTAACGACATCCCATGAACGTTCGTCAAATTAAGCTTTTGACCCAATAAAGAGATTTGTGGGGAAAAAACGAGACATGAAAGATTTTTATACGCCCACATGGCTACAGTTTTTATCCGATCTTGATGAAACTTGGTATACATGTATATATTGATGAGATCTCAGACAAGTTCGAAATTGGTAATAATCAGATGAACGATTTTTAAGTTATTTCCCTTGACTTTGAAAAACTCGCCAAATTTGCCTTGTAAGCGCGATAGAGGCTACAGTTTTTATCCGATCTAGATGAAACTTGGTATGCATGTATGCATTGATGAAATCTCAGTCAAATTCGAAATTGTAATAATCGGATGAACGATTTCGGAGTTATTGCCCTTAACTGAGAAAAAAAACCCGTTAAATTTGCGCATTAGAGGCTACAGTTCTTATCTAATCTTGATGAAACTTGGTATACATGTATATATGGATACGATCTCGGTCAAGTTCGAAATTAATAATAATCGGAAGAACAGTTTCAGAGTAATTGCTCTGGACTTAGTAAAACAAGTCCAATTTCGATTGTAGACACGATAAAGACTACAGTTTTTATGCAATCCTCATGAAACTCGTATTATATATATATTGATGAGATCTCGGGTCAAAATTGGTAGTAATCGGATGAACCGTTTCAGAGTTATTGCCCTTGTGTGTACAACGATGAGACATTGTTCATGTTTGACTTTGATGATAACTTGATGATCTGTTTCAGGTTTTTGCCTTGACTTTTAGATGATTTTAAGATTATTTGAAACTTCTTTATCATTTCTGACCGCTGGTAGTGGGCGTATGTTACCATGCCTGGCAAGCAATCTTTGGTATTTCTGATCGAGTATAGTTAGGTGGATCCCAAAAAATTTTCCCCCATAATTCTGGCTGGGGGAATTTTTTTTTACAGCCTCCTAAAGATTGGTCTCACTCACTCTTATATAATATTAATGATATGATTTAGAATACATGATAATTCATAAGAAATATATCAGGAAATCCACTTTAAAAGAAGAAGAAATCATCTATATATAAACTGATAAGTGGAATTAAAACGTTTAGCTACTCGTCCTTTGCTATTTTTTATGAGTGCTCGCATGTACTCTGTCTCGTATGTATATAAAAATAAATCACCAAGTAGAGGCTTGCAGTTGAAATTCTTACCACTTGCTGATAAATGTCACTGCAAATAAAACAAAAATGTTGTCAAATAAAAAAATCCAACATCTTGAAAATGGGTTCCCTTATTTTCATTTATGAAAAGTTTGTCTCACATGTCCATAATTAATTCATAATTAGCTAAATAGTTTGCTTAATTTGACACATCTTTAACAATAACGTTGGCGGTGAATTTGCTCATGGAATCACTATGGTTCTCAACAAAATATGTGAAATTATTCAAATCTGACACTTAAAGTTACTGAATGGATAACACTAGAAATGATTTTTGTGACGTGCTTTGAGTTTACTATGTGAAATTTTAGAGTATACTGTTGTCAAATTAAAAGAATTGTATGAATGAGACTTGAAAGTGATTTAAACTGTAAATTTTTTATTTGTTCTTTTGAATTCTGTTAGATCCACATTTGATTGATCCACGAGAATATATAGTATTTCAGAACACCCTCTTCAACTGCAGTTAATATTGAAAGTGGCTTTGTTGAACAACCAGAAGAACCTGCTATAATATATCAATGTTTGTATAACCTGATAAACACTGCGTCACAAAATGGCAGCGATGGAGAGGGTAGAAATATGATAGGTTAAAGCAGACGTCATTGAGTTAAAAAAAAAGTTTAAGACATTGTATCAGAACATGATGATGCTCGTCCTCAAGACAAAGAAAGATTTTTGATATATAAACGCTGTATCACTGCAGCTATAATATGGTAACTGGTTATGTTGATATTTCATTTCAATTGAATAAAAAACAACAGGAAACAAATTTTTTATCTTACTGTTGTGTAAAGAATGTTTCAATCGATTAAATGCTTTTTACAAACAAACAACAGATATTTCAACGAACATATTCGATTTCCAATTGCTAAAAATAACTCCTTTAATTTTTTGCTAAAGTCGGCAACGCATTATAAACAGTTCAATAAAAACTGTTCATGTTGATATCCAGCGAGTTCGACAATCATTACAGCCTGTAATATATCGAAATTTCAATGGGTAAGGGTACGTATCCTGCTTGACAACCGCTTGTTAGACTGCTGTCGAAGGTTTGCTATATATTTATGTGATATGTTATCTACCGATAATCGAATTTTCCGAAGGCTACAGTTAATTTCAACATCAGGAAATTGCCCAGTGGTGAACAAATTTAGAAAGAATGACTTAATATATGATCCAAGCAATTAGAAGGTTTCTAATCAATACTTTCCTATCAAATCATATACGAATCAAGTGTCAAATAGACAAATGTATTCAAGCCATTTTGAACTAAAATAAATTTTAATGACATATATTTTCTTCGCTGTTGCTTTAAGGGTGATATTTAGAGTATCAACTAGAGTCGACATCTAAAAACCGGTTTAGATTTAATTGATAGATTTTTTTAATAATCTTCACAATAAATATTGGATATGATATTACATGAATACTGTTTTTAATCCTGCCGGAGACGGGAGGAACTGGCTCAAAGGCAACATTTTCACTTCTGCTTTAGCTCTCGTCTGAGCTATTGTCTCGCTAGAAAATCTTCTGCCACCTGAAGATTAAAATAGCCTCATTTCTCTGTTTTGGAATTCTTCAGAATTAACAGCGTAAAGACGAGGTTAGTCTTGTCATGTTCAACAAGTTGATTTTCTTAAATTATTCAGGAAGTTCTCAATGGTTACCATGTTGATATCATATGATCCTCCGTCAATGCGTTTCTTGTGGTTAGTTACTCTTTTTCTGGCTCAGCTGGCAGCTTAGACGTCCACACACTGTGATTTTCTGGAACACGAGGCAGAAAGTTTTAAACAGGACAGATATTTTCCTCACAGCCTCTCAAAGCAGAATTCTCACTAAAATTTCAGCGCAGACTAGGGGAAACAGCCCAGACCCCGACCTCTTGAGACAGACAGCAAGTTCATTTCGTCTTTTGTAGTATTTGGCGATCTATGTTACTATTTAGGTATTTATTAAGTATTTCTATTTATAGATGTGTAAATTGAGACCTAGTGTCGAGCTTCCTCGATTACTGGTGATATTCAATAAGATATATTGGATCATATCGGTCTGGCTGCGTTGAATTCCTCAATTTCGACATTTCTTGTTTTGTAATTGATTCCTTTGAGCTTATAAGAGTAGTGGTGTACTGATGGTCCTTTGATTACTTCTTTTTCAAATGGTTCACCTTGAGCAAATCAATGATCTTTATTTTGAACTACTTACTGTAGACCGAAAAGTACAAGTCGTATACAGT